GTTATCAAACTGAATCGAAATCTTTTCACCTCTACTCCGACTCAAAGCCATCTCTCTTAATCGTATGCCACTTCTAGGTCTCCTCGTTTGTGCAGATTGGTTGCTAGGCACGCTCTAGTCTCCCGTTGTAGGGATGCTCTGGTCACCAATAGTAGAGACGATCGAAATAAAAGGGTCGGGCTGGCCTTGATTAATGCTTTGATCCTCCATGATCCTGTTTAGGCAATAAATAAAATTCATAGGTGATATCACTAATAAAAACATGTTCTAATATGAATCGAACACAAGAAATAACTACTTTAATAAATCATACATGTTCTAAAATAAATAATGCAAGAAATAACTAATTTAAAAAATCAAACACAATGATAAATAAATAACTAACTTTTAAGATAGTTTTAAATAGTGATATTCTCCCATATCCCTTCACAGTGATCATCTCTTGTGCCATGTTCATCATCCACTTCATCTTCTACATTCATTATAGGTAGGCCTCTTAAGAAAGAAGAAGTCTCAGAAATATTGAAATTTGGACAATCCTTCCCATCAATATTAACCTCTCATTTTCCTTCGAGAGCCACTGACTATCTTTTATTTCTTGGATCTGTGACATGAAACAATTGTTTTTCCTGGTCTGCCGTAATAAAAGGTTCATTGCCAAAACTTAAATTATTCAGATTGACCAATGTAAATCCTAACCTATCGTGTTGAATACCATTGTTAACATTAACCCACTTGAATTTGAAAATGAGGATTCTAAATTTAATATAGTTAACCTCCCAGATCTCTTCAATAACCCCGTAATAAGGCATGGACACGAATAAAGGATTCTAGTCTTTTAAACTAGAGAAGTGCATGCCTGAGGCCACAAGCATTACACCACTATTCTGCACATTACTCCTGTTATCTAAAAACTTCGTGTAGAACAAATACCTATTAATTTCAACTGCAGTCCAGCATATAACATCACATTCAGGACCTTGTGCCAAGCCTTTAACAATATCAGAAACACAATCTTCCTTCTCAATCTTATGTTTGAACCACTTTACAAAAGTATTGTTATATTCCCTAATCAGTCTTTGTTCATTCATCCTAGATCGACTATTTTGCTTCCTCACAAGTTCTTTATGCTCACTTATGTAGTCTTGAACTTGATCAATATTATTCAAGATGTGTAAATGAGCTTGTTGCAATTCATGAAGATCCACACTCTTTACAGAAATGCTGCATCTACGATCTTTGACATCATGTTATCTCAATCCAAGGGGTCGTACATTATTCAAGTAATCTTGACAAAATTCTGCCGCTTCTTTAAAGACATATTTTTGAATAATGGATGCTTCAGGATGCTATGGACTCTTCACATACCCTTTTAGGACTTTCATTTTTCTTTCAATTAGGTACATCCATCATAAATGAACAAGGCCACATAACTTTATCTCCTTTACTAGATAAACAATTAGATGTATCATGATGTCAAAAAATAATGAAGAAAGAGTTTTTCAAGTTGGCACAAGATAAGATATGCTTCCTGTTCCAGTTCATCCAATTCTTCAATCTCATGGACTTTACGGCATATAGCATTGAAGAAAAAGCAAATTCTAGTTATGACATCTCTCAGTTCATCTTTCCAGAAACCTCAAATAACCACCGGGAGTAGTTGTTGCATTAAGACATGGCAATCATGAGACTTGAGGCCTACTAATTTCAAATCCTTCATCAACACAAGCTTTTTAAAATTTGAAGAATATCCTGAGGGAACTTTCATGTTGTGCAAGCAATCACAAAAGCTTCTTTTCTCATCCTTACACAATGTATGTTCAACCGAGGGATAATAAGTCCACTTACCATCTGGCCTTAGGTGTAAGTCCTCTTTAATTTTCATATCCACTAAATCTAATCTTGCTTTCACACCATCCTTGGACTTGCCTGGTATATTAAGAAGTGTTCCAATAATACTATCACACACATTCTTCTTCACATGCATGACATCAATACAGTGCCTCACATCAAGATAGTGTTAATATGGAAAGTCAAAGAAGATAGACCTCTTTTTCCATATATTTTTTTCACTAGTCTTTATAGCTTTACTAAAGATAACATTGATGTCTTTCATCAATTCATAAACATACTCTCCTATCAATGGCTTTAGGGTAGTTTCATGCTCTTAGCCACTATAGAAAGCTTTCTTCATTTTATGATAATAGTGACCCTATTCAAGAAATCTCCTATGGCTAAGGTAGACTGTCTTCTTTCCATGATGAAGTTGATAGTAACATGTGCCTTCTTCACAAATTGGACATGCTTTATGCCCCTTAATACTATAACCTAACAAGTTTTCATATACAGGAAAGTCATTTATGGTGCAAAAGATTATTGCACATAGCTTGAATACCTCAGTCTGATTTACATCAAACACATCCACACCTACCTCCCACAGCTTTTTCAAGTCTTCAATCAAGGGTTTTAGGTACACATCAACGTCATTCCCTAGTTGTTTCGGTCCTAAAATGAACATAGATAACATGATATACTTATGTTGCATGCACAACATGGGAGATAAGTTGTAAATCACTAATAAAACAGGTCATGAGCTATGTATACTGCTAAGGCTACTGTAAGGATTCATGCCATCTATACTAAGTCCAAGCCTAAGGTTCCTTGGATCAATGCTAAACTCGGGAAACAATGTATCAATTTTTTTCCATTGTTCCGAATCAACTGAATGTTGAAGCTTTCCATCAGAAATCCTCTCATTCATATGCCATCTCAGATTCTTTGCATCCTTTTCATTAGCAAACAACCGTTGAAACCTCGGTATAATTGGAAGATACCATAGTACCTTTGTAGGAGCTTTGTTCTCTTTATACCTTGATATCTCACATATTAGACACTTATACTCTTCTTTATGCTCTTTCTTATACAGTATGTAGTTATTAGGGCATACATGTATTTTCTTAAACTTCATGCCCAATAAACATAGAATTTTCTTTGCCTTGTAGTAACGAATTAGAAACACATTCTCTTTTGGAAGCATTAATTTCAACAACTCGAGCATTTCTGTGAAACTCTTGTCACTCTAACTGGATCTAGCTTTCAAGTTTACCAATTCTAACACTGCTTTCAACAGACTATATTCCTTGTAACCTGGGTACAAAGGTGTCTCTACATCATCGCACATATTATTTGCTTAAAGGCCTCTTTACCTACATCACGAATCATGTCCTCTAATCAATCAATCATATCATCATTATCACAGTTATCATCAACATCCCGAGATTGAGATGTACTTGGCATCGGCATGTTCAATCTTTCGCCATGCCATATCCATACTCTATAACTTTTGAGCACAAATTAAGTGTTCAAATATATCATTTACACTTAACCGCCTCTCATTCAAACAGTCCCTACAAGGATAAGAAAACCTCCCACTATCATCTTCAACATTATTTTGAGCAAATTCCTAAAACCCTTTAACCCCATTAACATATTCTATACTTGTTCGTTTGGCATCTATCCAACTATGATCCATGTATAATTTGACCTCCTAAAACATGATAGAGTTCATGGATTATTACCAAATCCATTACAATAGGGTCAAACAAAAAGTTCTAAAATAGAGGAAGGGAAAGGCAATTCTATATTATTTGGTTCTTTCCATATAGAGTAAGGGGCAAATAATAAGTTTTAAAAAATTTTCGACAAAGTCTCCCCTAAAAACTAGACTTCCTAATAATTTTAAAATAGAAAATACAATAGCACAACATAAAGAAACTAACAACAATACCTAAGCTAAACTAACAATCTAAATACGAACTTTGGGGCTAAATAATAAGTTCAAAAAAATTTCTGCAAAGACCCCCTAAAAACTGGACTTCCTAATAATTTTACAATAGAAAATATAATAGCACAATTTAAAAAATCACATTCCAACAAACAACAATACCTAAGCTAAGCTAACAATCTAAATAATAATTTTACAATAGAAAATACTGGATACATTAGGTGTGTTCAGATTTGAAAGTTTAGGAAACTTATTACCTATAAATGTAAAGTTAATTCATATTAACTTTACACATATATCCAAACTACTCCTTACAGGCATCATTGATTAGAACTTTGAAGGATGATGACTAAGAAAAGGAGCACATAGATTAGAGTGGGGATTGACTTCATTGAATGATGATTGATTTCAGACAGGATCACCCACTCATAAATAAGAAGGAGACCCTTTGTTCAAGTTGAAAGTTGAAACTATTCCCTCACAAGAATTTGATCTCTCTTTCAAATAAAAGTTCCAATTGTATGTGACACACCTAAACCCACTCACTCGCCTTCCCTCATAACCATGTTTCTCTCCATAATCCATCCATCCATCTTTCCTCTTACTTATTCACCCCTATTTTTGCCCCAACTCATATTTTCAATCTAATTAGATAAATTCTTGATCTATGGGTACTTCAATATTTAAATTCTTAAGTAGGAGGAAGAGATATTCAAACTCTTCTGATATTATTAAAAAAAATGTAATTACCAAACAACATTACACCTACAAGCTGGCCGTTGATTTTCATTATTTGAGCCATGATATCTATAATTTAACTTAATATATTTAAAAAGCTAAAGACAAAAACAGAACAAATCAAAATCAAGAGATTGTATTAAAATAAAAATAAAATTGCAAGTGAAGATGCAAAATTAATAGTATTATTATTAACTGATTCTCTATCCATAATTTTAATATCTAGTTAACACTCAACACCCCAAACATGTATCTATAACTTGACTATAGCAGACAAATGCCTAAGTAGTAAGAAAATCTCAAGTGAAATTCTAACATGTCATGGTTAACTTCCTAAATTCCTATTTAACAAAAGCTTCTTAAACCATGATATTTAAAATTGAAAACATGGATAATTATGAAACAATACAAAGATGAAATGACAAAAATGCATGAACTAATTTTACAAGTTACTGAATTCAAATGGTCAATATTCTACTTATATGAAAATCTTGAGGAACATGTCCAATGGAACATCAAATAATTCTTCAACTTCATTTGGATTTAACATGGGAGTAAATGCATCCTTGTTTGATAGTATGCCAATCACAGGAGTTATTGTCATGCCATACTGCACTTGGAAAAACAAGTATGTCAGGAAAGATACTAATGCATGGCTCTAAATTAGTTTGTTGCAGAAGATTAGCTAGCCGAATTAGAATTATAGTATGAATGTATTTGGAATACCTTGAGAGTCATAAATCTCCTAGGCTTATGCTCCCATAAGTGAAAGAACTGAAACAACCAGATACACCTTTTTTTGATTGTGGATTTCTGACACAATATATGCTAAAACAGGTCAGTAGGCAGTAAATTGGCTAAAACATTGAGCACAGCAGAACTAAAAGATTGGCAGCATACCTATCTTCCCTTTTATTGATTGTGGATTTCTAACACAGTATATGCTATAGTAAAGCATTGAGATTAGAGCTAAAGTTCTGGCCTGCTATCTCTTTTTTGGTTTTTTTTTGATTTTTTCTTTCTGATGTATAAGTTAAAAATAGACAAGTTTCTAATTAGATCTAAGAGTTGTTTGGACAAAGTGTAGGTAGAACTCAAACAAAGCTGCTAATATTGAGAAATTGCTTGAGGAACTAAATTAACATTATGACCTAAACTTCACTAGTTGAATTTTATTGTACATTCCTAACAAATTATGTCTCATTCCATCAAATTTTCATATTTTCACTTCATTAACAATGAATCCAACATTCTGATCAGAAATGATTTTTATGCATGCGCTCGTAATAGTAACAATAGAATGCACATATTCCCATGAGATTCATTTTTTTATTAAAATCATCGTCAACATTTCTCTAAAAATAAAAACTATAGAAAGGTTTATGAATAATCAATAAAATGACTTTAACACAACGAAATACGATTAAAGAGAGGGGGAAATCATGATTGTACCTTGGCTCAAGAGAAGTGATAACAATAACAAGAGAAGGGTTCAAACCAATCTCCTCCTTAGCCTCCCTCAACACCATTTCTACATCGTTAGCATCACCTTCTTCTCTCTTCCCACCGAGCAGTGCAACCTCACCTGTAAGTTGCAACCACACACATAAAGCCCTTCTCTTGGGTAACACATAGGAGAGAAAACCCCTCAAAATTTTTGGGTTTTCAGAATTGTAGAAGACAGCGGGGAAGACAATACTTGAGTGGGTTGATAAAGAAGAAGTCCTTAAAGTGAGAAATACTTGCAGATTCCTATCGTCCCCTTCAAAAAGGCAAATCAAGATGGGATCTCTCTTGAAACAAAACACTAGACATTAATATGCGACAAGCATTAGTAAGGTTTAAAGAGCATTATACCATGTAGCAAGGAAAAAATACACCAGTCCATCATTAAACAAGGAAATTAAGCAGTTTGAAAGCAAAAAACCAAAATATCTTAAGCTGGGAAGATAAAGTAATGTAGCGAGCAGAAAATACACCAATCTACCACAATCACGAGGGAGTTCTTGCCAAGAAAGATTTCAACCAAAGATATAAAAATCAAATAATGAAAGCATCAAGTCTTTGATACTGCTAGCTATAGTCACCATTCACCCCTCACTCCACTCTCCACAATACATATTCGATTTATCACAGCAATTAGAGAACAAAAGAATAGAGAGAAGAAGGAGAGTTGAGAAAATACATACTGAAAAGGAAAAAAAATAGAGGAGAAGAAGAGCGGTGGCAGTGAACGGAGACCCACACCGGCGATGCTGAGGACGAAGGATGAAGGTGGAGAGTAGTGGCTGCAGACAAGGATTTAAAGTTTCTAAGCTCTCTTCCTCTCGCAAGACCAAATGTGAACTTCAGAAATGAGAGTAAGAGGCAAGGAAAATATGATGGTTTAAATGAAGGGCAATATGGGTTGTTTAAAGCAAAAGAGATCAACAAGTGAGCAATTTTGGTGCCTTCGACAGTCCAAAAAACTGATATAGCAAAAATTTGAAAAAAATCATATCTAAACCGGTTATTTAAAATAACCATTTAGATATATTAAAAATTAATTTTTTAAAAAAATTTAAACATATTTAAACCGGTTACAAATAATAGTCGGTTTAGATATGATATATTAATTATTTTTAAAATTATAAATTATTATCTAAACTAGTTAATCCTCATACCCGATTTAGATATATGAAGGAAATAAAAAATATTAAATTATAAATATAAATCTAAACTGGTTCCTTTTATAACCAGTTTAGAAATCATCATATCTTCAATCTTATTTACAGGAATGCCACCGCCCTCAATTTCTAAACCGTTGGCGCATTAACTGGTTTAGATATGTGGGTTTAAAAACTATATTTTGCTATAGTGAAAATATAATTCTTCGTTACTAGACTAACATTGTTCCAACTCTTAATTGTAATGGGTACATTTGCCTTTGCCACAACCCCTATGTAGCTGATAAATTTATTTCTGTTAATCTTGATAGGTTGACCTTTGTAATTCCATTCAAACTCATATTTTTATCTAGTAGCCATTCTCTTATTCACCTCGCTCATCAATGTCAATCCCCTCATTATTTGATTTGCTTTTTGCTGAATTTGTTGGTCATTCATATTAATGCTAGGATCAGTATTGCTAGGTCCACTAGGATCAATACTTTTTTGAAAAGTCATTTACCTACAAAAATAGAAAAAGAAAATATGGAGAAGAAATGAATGATAAGTTGATTAAAAAATAATTAACTACTCTACATGTAAAAAAAATTCAGCAGCATAACATCATAAAAACAAGTATTTTTCGGGCTCAAACTCGCTTTTTAACCCTAACATCTTATATCAATAAGCCAAATTCAATCATACACAAACTCAACAGCAACAAAATCCAAAAAAATGACATTTTCAACCATACACAATTCCAAAAAAAAAATCATTAAAAAATCATAGAAAAAAAGAAAAATATTCAAATCAAATAAGGCATATAATAATTTTGGTCACTTTTGATCACTTAAATTAACTCCAATTGTAATGAAATTTGGTATATTAGTACATTTTAATATGTAGTTTCTAATGATAAAACTATCCAAATCAAATAAGGCAAATAATTTTAAAGAAATATTCAAAAAATTCGTTCAAAATTAAAAAAACAATACAATCATCATGAATATACATTTCAATCACTCATTTTTATCCTCATAATTATTCTGAGGCTACCCATAGCCTCCATTAGCATCCTCAAGCCAAGAACACATCATATATTATCAATTTCAATAACCCACATTACCAAAATCAAGCAACAATATGCACAGAAAGTTAACTACATAAATTCAAATAATAAAACTCTACAAAACAATGAATAAATCATTCCTATAGTAAAAAAGCCAAAGGACATTGAAAGAAATGACAGAAAACATAAAAAAATACATCTTGGAAGAAAATGGGTTGAAATGCAATGGCAAACTCAGGGCACAATGAAAGACAGTAAGGACAATAACAGAAATACGATGGAGGTGGGGGATGATGGTCGACTATGAAAATGAAGTCACCTTGTGGGGTTACTTGTGATTTTGTGTGAAAGTGGAGAAGAGAAGAGAGGAGAGTTCATCGGGTGTGCGAGAGAGAATATGAAATGGAGGGAATTGAAAAGTTTTTAAACAAGAATAAATGACGGGCATTTCACTTTATATGACGGGCATTTCACTTTATATGACGGCCATTTCAAAAGCCCATCATATATTATAATGACTTTATATGACGAACATTTGAAATGCCCATCACATAAAAAAATGCTCATCATATAAAGTCACATTTTTTTCCTTTTTTTAAGGTTCAGAAACTTAAACATTATATGACCGGTGTTAAAACACTCGTCATATAATGTCATCAATATAAATGACGGGTGTTTAAAATGCCCATCATATAATGTCATCAATATAAATAACGGCTGTTTAAAATGCCTCGTCATTTATGTTGACACTAATTTTTAATTTTTTTTAGAGGCAAAATTTGAAACCTTATATGACAGGTGTTTAAATACCCATCATATATGTTAATGAAATAAATGATTATGCAACCATCACCTACCTCTCTTTTAAATGATGAATTTTCTTAAAACTATCATGTTTAATGGTATCATATATCAATAATTTTGTAGTAGTGTTATTAGATTCAATTCCATATAAGTATTATAAAATTTATAGTTACTTTCCAACACATGTATACAGAATAATCTAAAAGAAGTTATTTGAGCTCGAGTTCACTCAAAGAACTTTAGGTCTCTCTATAAGAGATCCTCCAGCTAACTCAAACATCAAATCAAAATTAAAGAGTCCCTTAGGAAACTTCTAACACCTTTATAGACAATAATTTAAAGAATTAGAGTCACATAAAATTTATATTTATTTATTTATTTATTTATTTATTGCTCTTTAGTTACCCCAAAGTACTCTTGCAAGCTATATTTAATTCTAAAACTACTCTTGTTAAGCTCTACTCATTACTCTAAATCATATTAGTCATTACTTTTTAACTTTAAATTGCTTGAAAGCACATTTTATAAATCCTAAACATCTAATAAGTTGTTCATCCCAAAATAATTAAAATAAATAAAAACGAATTATAACTCATTCCCTAGAGTTACTTTTTAATTTATAAGTTGCTATAGAGAGTTTTACAATAATTTTCCAACTCTTGTAGTTACTAAGAGTTGTTTAAAATTCTTTAAAACTAATTTCTATCATCTTAAAGTTGTTCTATAATCAAACTCAACATCATTATCCCATCTATAGGATTTCTTTTAAATTTTAAATACACCTAAATCTAATAACATTAGCTACAATAAAAATTTTAAAATACTTACATGATCTTATCTCAATCTCAATATGAAAATATCTGTATGGCTTTCCTATAATTTCTCCACGTCGAAGCTCGCTCTTTGCTTTTGCGATTTCGCTCATTAGCCGCCACACAAGCTGAATGGAATCGTCCTCTCTGAATGTGTACCCCTGAATCAACCTTTGGTTGTTTATTATTATTATTATCATTATTATTATTATTATTTTGTTTTCCTTTTTCTTAATTTTTTTCTTTGCTTTCTTTTCATTTTCTTTAATTAATTAATTAACTAATTTTTTATCAAAGATTAATATGCAATTTGGACCTTGAACTATTAGTCTAAGGGTGATTTGAATCCTAAGTTTTTAAAAGGTGCATTCTAAACTCTAAATAATTAAAGTTGGAGTAATTTTGCCTATACTGTTAACTTTCAACTAACATACATCAAATTGGGATTTGATGTATAATTTTCACCAAATGAGGGTAGGAGAGAGATGGAGAGTGAAATTTGATGAAAATCACACATTTGGCCCCAATTTAACAGACGTTTGTTGAAAGTTAATGATAGTGGTAAAATTACTTCAACTTTAATTGTTTAGGGTTTAAAATGCACCTTTTAAAAGTTTAAGATTCAAATCGCTCCTGGACAAATAGTTCAGGGTCTAAATTGTATATTAACCCTTTTATAAATACTATTGTTTTATTTATTTATTTATTTATTTATTTTCGTTTTTTTCTCTTTTTCTCTTCTCTTATCTTTTTCTTTTCCCTTTTTTTATTCACACACACACATTTAGATCAATTAAATCCTCTCGCATATTTTATTTACTGTTAATCAAGGTTCGTTTATAAAACAAAAAATTAAATCTTAATTGTAATATTGAAATAAATATAATTTCTTAAAAAATTATATCTATTTATTAATCTTATTCAATCTTATAAATTTCTCCTTCCTCAAATGTGCATTTAATTTCATTCTTGTAAATATTTCTTACTCAAATGATTAGATGATAAATTCATGTCACCATGGCATAATTTCTTCCTAACATTAAAGATGTCATGAAAATTAGGATGTTACGAAATTGTCTTAATTTATCTTAAAAGTGATCTTATCTTATCATTAAGCCCACAAAATGATTCTAAGAGACTTCTCATAGAGGGTGGATGTTACAAAGCATGATTATGCTCTTGGTAGCCTTGAAAATCTTTCTTTAATTTATGATAAGGGTGATCTCATTTAAAAAATATCCGATGGCTAAGGTGAAACTATCTTCCTCCTATGCTGAAATTGATTGTACCATGTGCCTTCTTCACAAATTGGACATACTTTGTGATCCTTGACACTATATTTAGACAAATTTTGATATGTAAAAAAATCATTTATAGTGCAAAAGACCATAACACATAACTTAAAATTCTCCTTTTAATTTGAGTCAAATACATCAACACCTACCTTTTATAGTTCTTGAAACTATTCAATCAGAGACGCTATAAAAATATCAATGTCATTTTCAAGTTATTTTGGTCCCAAATCAACATAGACATTATCATGTATTTCCATTTCATGCATAGCTAAGGTGATAGGTTATAAATTACCAAAAGAATAAGCCATGAATTATGTATATTGCTAAGGCTATCATAAAGATTCATTCCATTTGTATAAAGTCCAAGTGTTAGGTTCCATGGCTCATTGCCAAATTCATAAAACAATTGATTAAATTTTTTTTGATTGAGGAGAATTGGTTGGAAGTTGAAGTTTTCTATCAGATATCATCTCATTTGCATGCCACCTCAATTCTCAATATATTATTACAAAATCTATCAACTATACATTTCATCAAACACATAGCCTATACTATTTAAAAAGTCTAAATCCTAAATGGAGAAATAGAAATTGCAACTAGAATTCAAGTAGATGGAAATGACTTAGTCCCTTTCCAAGCTTGGGTCAAGTGCTTCTCATCTTCTCCTAAGGATCACAAGCCTCCTAGCCACACAAAAATCTCCTAGACACTTTGAACATCAATAATGAATTTGAATATGTAACATTGCAATTAAAATATGTAACAGATATATAGAAAAATTTAAAGTAAATTGCTTACATAGTATCCTATCACAAGGTGCCCAACAAAAACATACGAACAACACTTACTTAGTGGAACGGTTTTCCACTAGAGCAAGCTAAGCACCACGATGAGAAAGGAAAGGGAACAAAATTAGTGAATGGAAAACTAGAATAATTTAGTACTTCAAAATATCGAACCAACCATCAATCAAGAGTTATACCACAAACATTTATCAAAATAGGGGTGATACAAATTCTCATATTTCAAAAGTCATAATCAAGCCTAGCACTTAATGTTCGTACAATATCTCCCAGTTATACTACACATATCAAGTATATGGCACAATGAAATGGTCTATGTTTGAATGGGGAGGTCATTGGTTTGACATCTTCCCAATATCACAAACTATCACCTGAAAAGTGGAAATGAGGAGGGTGACATAATCATCTTAGTAACTAGGAGTTGAACTTCTAATTACCTTAACCAACAAAAATTTACCATATCCATAAGTCAAAAATAATTATTTCAATCACCCTTTAGGATAAACACCTAGTTTGGTAAACCTATCAACACTGCCCTTTCCTTTTACTATTGGTATTTTAGAGTTTATGCTATAATGGGTATACCTTTTGGAAGCTTACGAGCTCTAATTTATTGACAGCAACCCTAATAGCTTCCTTTATCAGGTAACATACTCCTACCTCCTAGCTGTAGTTGTAGTAGTTTAGAGTCATGTACTATTATCACATGATAATAAAGGACAACACTTATCACAATATTTCATCTTTAACCAGAATACATATAATTATATTTTATGTGTATGAATAGCTAAAGTTCTAAGCCATGATCTATGTCCACATTAAAACTAGATTACTATCATTAGAATTTCAACATTCACGCAGGTCTGGGATTAAGAATAAAAAGAAATAAAACCCCTAGTTACCTTTACCTTTCACGTTAGAAGGGAAACCCTTGCACTAAACAAAGCTCTAGACTTGATCCAATACCCATAAATAAATAACCTCACACAATAATGTCCAAAGCGTTACAAATCATCAATTTTTAGAATTTACTCCCTTATTTTTTTTTGCCAATTTACTCCCTTATTAAAAAAGTATTAAAATCTCGAGTTTAAAACAGGAAACCAAATCAATTCCAGTTCCAAAGAGAATTTAGACTTAACTTCTTTATCATTCAAACTTCCTAATCGAAATAAAATCCAAGCCAGAATGTAGCTAGATCATATGAATAAAAAATCCCTTAGAAATTCATATTTAAATACCCAAAAATTCAAAACTCCACATTTCATATAATGCAGCTACAATTTCAAGTCCCATTAAATTTCATTAGCTAAAACAAGTCCTTAAATTAGCCCAAATTCATCAATTGTCCTATAATTTTGACCCTTTTCTTAAAAGACTAGGGTTTTGTCCAAACCCCTTAAATTCCAAAGACCCACTTATTAAAGCCTCAAATAAAGTTGAAGAAGGTACAAACTTACCTTTAAGCGTCAGAATACTTCCTCAATCACCCAAAAGTCTGAACCTTAGGCTACCAATCAACCACAAATTCATAAACTAGCCATCCCCATTGTCAAGAATAGAGGATGGTAAGGAATTACCATTACACATCATGGATGAAAAATTGAAGGTCTAGGGCACTAGAATCTTTGCTACTTTTCCTTAGAAAATTGCCCTTATCATACACTCTTTAACCCCAACATGAAATTCCCTTCAACTGATCAAATTTTCAAAATTTAAAATGTTAATTCCACCTTTTGTTTGTGATTGGTCATGTATTCAATAATTTCATCCACTTATGGATGAACTATGCATTTTGACTGGTCAACACAATGATAGTACCCACAGCAGATGACTATTGAATTAACCTTGTCTAGTGTCAGTCATGGATAAAGGCTCCCCTTATCACTTTTACTATCATCAGTAAGTGGTTGACCCTAAAAGAAACTCCATCTGTAACTGGACGCAAGTAGAAGTTTGAAAATTCACCAAAATTACCTTAAATCCACCAAAAATCAAAAGATAACCCTTAACTCATAATTAATCACATTTTGAATGACTAGGGTGTTACAAAATCATGGCAATCATAAGAGGTGAAAATTGCATCACTAAAGGAGAGAGGGAAGAAGGAAATTATGGTATGGTTTTGTAGAGGAGGATAAGAGGAATGTTTTTAATTGATCAGTTTGGATATTTTACTTAGATAAGAAAATTTCAAAAATGGAGAGGGGAGAGGGAGGTTTAGATCTGGTTTTAGAGAGAGAAAAGAGAGAAAACATGGAGAGGAAGAATAGGAAGAAGAGAACATGTGTGATGCAAACCAAGTAAAATTGAATGCATCTTGTGAAATATTGTGTACACATTTTTTATGCCTCTTGAGAGGGAAAAAAATTAGATCTAGACATTTGAGACATATTTTGATAATTGTTAATAAAAATAAAATTTCAACATGGAAAAATAAAAGAATGGAAATAATGCACATGTGGAAATTAGTAAAGATAAGTAAAATATAGCTAGAATTGTGTGTGGGAAGAAAATGAATTTTATTTTTACAAAAGAAGCTTGGAATTTTCAAAATGATTAAAGGGAAAGCCTACATTTTGAAAAATGGAAATAATAAAATCCACCAAAGCACAAACATAAATAAATTAAAAACAAGAAAAAAGGTTAAACTAGTAAATTCTAGCTCTATCCTCTTAATCATTCCTTCTATTCACATGTAACCACCATCACAAGATTAATCTTTCTTGATAAAACTTCTCCATGAGGCGTTCCACTAGGCTCTGAAAGTAGCTACTCGATGCAAGTTGTATTAATATTGCTAGCATATTAAAATCAACTTGTATTGATTTAATTGGATAAAAGTAGTCTAAATACCTAACTTTTATCCATTTTAAAATCAAACTTTTCTCATTCCCTATCCTCCAAGACACAAAAGAGAAAACAAAACAAAGGAAGATGTTCTATATGTACATCCTACATGGTATTATTTCAGGTAATACAATAAGAGAAATTAATTCTCCCTTAAAGACATTA